GCCTTTCCGTCTTGACCTCCATATAGTGGGTTAGCCCTGGCCTGAGGTTGGTTCTTTTTTTTTTTTTTTTTTTTTTTTTTTTGAGACAGAGTCTCACTCTGTTGCCCAGGCTAGAGGAATCTATAGATTGTTTTGAGTAATATGTACATGTTAATAATATTAATTCTTCCAATCCATGAATCCATTAATTCTTCCAATAGCTTTCCATTTATTTGTTATCTTCTTCAATTTCTTTCATTGACTTATAGTTTTTAATATACAGATCTTTCACCTCATAGGTTAAATTTATTCCTAAGTATTTCATTTTTTCTTTCTTTCTTTTTTTTTTGGACAGAGTTTCACTTTGTTGCCCAGGCTAGAGTGCCATGGTGTCGGCATAGCTCCCAGCAACCTCAAACTCCTGGACTCAAGCGATCATTCTGCCTCAGCCTCCCGAGTAGCTGGGACTACAGGCATGCACCATCATGCCCAGCTAATTTTTTCTGTATATTTTTAGCTGTCCAATTAACTTATTTCTATTTTTGGTAGAGACGGAGTCTCGTTCTTGCTCAGGCTGGTCTCGAACTCCTGAGCTCAAACAATCCACCAGCCTTGGCATCCCAGAGTGCTAGGATTACAGGTGTGAGCCACCGCACCCCGCCTTTCATTCTTTTTGATGCTATTGTAAATGGGGTTGATGTTTTCTTTATTTCTTTTTTGGATAGATCATTGTTAGTGTGTAGAAATGCAACTGATTTTCACATGTTTATTTTGTATCCTGCCACTTTACTGAATTCATCTATTAGTTCTAACAGTTTTTTGGTGAAGTCTTTAGGGTTTTCTATAAATAAGATCATGTCATCTGCTAATAGACAATTTAACATCTTCCTTTCCTCTTTAGATGCCTTTTATTTCTTTTTCTTATCTAATTGCTCTTGGTAGGATTTCCAGTACTATGTTGAACATTTTTTTTTGATCTTAGAAGAAAAAGTTTCAGCTTTTTATCATTAGTATGATGTTAGTTGTGGACTTTTCATATATGGCCTTTATTATGTTGACATGCATTCCTTCTCTATCTAATTTGCTGAGAGTTTTTAACCATGAAAATATGTTGAATTTTGTCAAATGCTTTTTCTGCCTCTGTTGAGATGATTTTTATCCTTCATTCTGTCATTCTGGTATATTACATTTATAGATTTGTATATGTTGGATTATCCCTGCATCCCAGGGACAAATCAATTAATCATGGTGTGTGATCCTTTTGATGTGTTGTTGAATTTGGTTTGCCGGTATTGTGTCAAGGTTTTCTTTGCATCTATGTTCATCAGGCATATAGGCCTGTAAATTACTTTTCTTGAAGTATCTTTGCCTTACTCTGGTATCAGGAGTTTTGTAGACATAGACAAGCTGACTCAAAAATTTATATAGAAAAACAGAGGGACTATAATAACTAAAACAATTTTGAGAAAGAATAAAAGTAAGGGAATTACACTATCTGATTTTAAGACTTAGTGTAAGACTATGATAATGAAGACAGTGATGTATTGGTGAAGGGATGAACATATCGACCCATCGACCAGAATAGCGTCAAGAAATACACCTACACAAATATGGTCAATTGATTTTTGACAAAGATGAAAAAGCAATTCAATGGAGGAAGAATAGTCTTTTCAATGAATGGTGTTGGAACAATTGGATAGCCATAGGCAGCAAAATGAACCTTGACCAAAACCTCAGACCTCATAAAAAAAAAATTAAGTGAAGTGATATCAAGAGGATGGCAAATTGGAAGCCCCCCTCTCGCATCATTCCACAACAACAAGAATTTGGCAGCCATCTATGGAATCTCTGTGCTAAAAGCCAAGGGGACAGGGTGGGGAACTGGAAGGAGGAGGGTGAAGGGAGTAAATATGGAAATAATGAAAATAAGGCAAGTGTGGCTGTTGATATCATATAGTGAGCATTCATTGTGAAACAGCACTCTGTTCGGCACTTTAATGTGTATTTTCTCATTTAATCCTCTCACAACCCTGATAGGTAGATAATTTTACCTTCATTTTACAGATGAAGAAACTGAGGTTCAGAGAGGTCATGTATCTTCACTCCAAGGTTTGGGGAAAAAAAAAAAACATAGGTAGCATTTGTTGAGTCTTTATTATGTGCCAAGGGTTATTTTAAGCACTTCATAGGTGTGTGAATTCATGTAAAACACAAAGCTCCTGCCTTCCAGAAACTCTAGGCTTCGTGTGGAAGGTAAGACTTAAAGTTGAGTTCTGGAGGAAGGGTAGGTTTTTGACAGATGGATTGGTGGAGGAAGGGCCCTCCATGCACAAGGAAGAGCTTAAACAAAGGCCCGGAAATGGGGGAGTCTGAAGCCTGTAAGTAACCCCATAACCTGAACAAATGCAGGTAGCATGAGGACACTGTGGAACAGAGGGGAAAGCTGGGGAAGAAGCTGGGAACATGAGGCCTGATGCTGAAGGGAATGAGAAGGCAGTGAAGGTAGCACGATCACATTTGTGTTTCAGGAAGATAATTTGGGCTTACTGTGCGAGCAGGAGACACTGTAGGCAAGGAGATCAGCTAAGAGTATCAGTGCAGATGAGAGACAATGGAAACCTGAAACAGGCTACTATTTCTCAAACCAATTTGGAATATACTATGGAGGTAGAATTTTCAGCCCAACACAGCTGATTGGACATAGAGATGATGGAGGGGAGTAGCGAAGGATGCATTGACTGGGCATGTGGGAATGCTGGGAATGCATCAGAGTTTCTATCTGCTTAATTTTCTAGGACCTGGTTATGCTTATTCTTCTTGATGGTGCAATGAAATCAGAGTCTAGGGTACCTGTCTCAGTAGTGGTTGTCACTCCTTTGTTGATCAAGTGACAAGGTTGGCAGTGTCTTAGGTGGTGAGGTGGTTGGGCTCCAAGCAATGTCAATTTCTATAATTCAGAGGAAGAAAATAACCATCTATAGAGGATTTTCTCACCTCATTGGTCTTCAGAACCAGTCTTAAGGGGTAGGTACTCTGCTGTTTCTATTATGATGGAGAGTGTGTGACTTACTTGCTCAAGGTCACACAAAAAAATAATACCTGCACAAGGTCTCACAGCAAACAAGTGACAGAAGTGGTCTGTCTGATTCCCAAGACTATGTTCTCTCTCTCTCTCTCTCTCTCTCTCTCTCTCTCTCTCTCTCTCTCTCTCTCTCTCTCTCTCTCTC